CTGCTGGAGGGTCAAGATCAGTCCGTCAAGTGGGGAGTGAGCAGGGGTGGGGATTCGACCTGTTGCGTGGAACCTCACGACCCCCAGCACGAGGGGCAAGTGAGTCTTAGATTCTCCGTAGTGCGCCGCCCTCAGTATTTCGAGGAAGCGCCGTGCCAGCCAGTATGTTGCACAAAAGTATAGTTTTCCCCGGGTACCCTGGGGGGACCGGAAGGATCCCGGAGAGGCATTGGCAAGGTTGCCGCCAGCGCATTGGGATGGTCTCAAAGTCTCACCAACCTTGGCGAAAGTGGTTTACGCGATCTGTTCCTCCCAAACCTACAGACTACAACGAGTAGACGTGACTATATATATATATATATATATATATATATATCTTGGGAGTGCTGGCCCCGACAAACCTCATGGCCCCCCTCGCTTGTCGCCCCTGCCGGACACACAAAACCTGTACACAAGATCAAAAGGAAAAATCGGAGAAAACATGTGACCATTGTTTGCCACCTCTCAACGATGGGCGATCCGCCCCTCCACGAACACACTTCGACTAGGACGGCTTCCACCCATTTGCGGATACCCAACGAACCTCCTGGCAGACCGGAAATTCCGCCACATGTAGGAACACAGGTGGGAGGGCCCACCCCGACAGGTCCATGCCCATATGGAGGGCTGGACAAGGTCGCATGGCCTCCTTCCAGGGAGCAATATATCATACATCAACCAAGTCCTGCAGGGACACTGGGCGGGATGTGGCGGGGAAACGTTTTTACAAAAGCCTGCTCAAAGGCAAAACCTTCGACCAAAATGGCACGCAAGTGCAACGTCGACGGCAATGGCAGATCATGATTCCAGGGCATGGGGTCGATTACTTCCTCTGTGAAGTCCGTACGGATCGCAGGTCGCACGCATTCGCCATATCCACGCACGTGCGGGATCATGATTTGCCCACTGGAGATCGCCAGAGCTACTGGGCCTCTTGCACAAAAGAAGTAGGAACGCATTACAGGCAAGCATAGTAGGGGAAAACACCCAGGAGGAAGAGGAGGAGACAAGCAGAGTCCATGGCCTCCTCCTCCTCCTCCTAGCCCCCAGTCCCACCGGCAAGTGCAAACCCAGCTGGGACTTGGGGCTCCTGCCTACTTTCATCTTCCGTCTTCCTTCGTCTTCCTTGCTCCTTCTCCATTCTCCCTTCCTCACGGGTTCCCCTCCTTGTACAAACAAACGCTCGGCGCACATACAATGGTTTTCCCTGCCAACCTGGGCGTGCTTCCAGAGGGTGGTACACATATTTTTCTGCGTTGGAGCGCCGCGGCCAACGCAATCACACTGCTGGCGGCGCCCCGCGCGGCGCGCGCGCGCCCGACTTGTCCGGACTGTTGCCGGCGCGGCCGGCGCGACCAACGTCGAGCCTCCACATGGGAGAGTGTGACGTGGCAAACTGTACTACAAGCGCCAAATTATAGCACCAGCTCACAGAGCACCCGGACACTGTTGTGCTCGAGATGCTGGCAACTGTCGCGCATGCCATGTACCGATGGCGAGCTCATGGCATACGGACTCGAGTTCACCAAGCATGCTCAGTGCCCGGCGGACGCAAACTGCCGAAAGGCATATGTATACGCACCGTTGCAAAATTCCCACGAAAAGCTGAGAACTTTGGACAAGCGACGAGCTCAAAGAAAGAGGGACTCCAATCAAGATCTCCATGTACGAGTTCAAAGAGAAGGTTCCTTAAGGGTTCGCGAAAGAGTAACGGAGCAAAGCAATCCGAGGGATGGGTGTAGCGATTTTGGGGACGCCTTGAGGTCTCAAAGCCCATCGTAGGCGAAAAGGCGAGAAGGCAAACATCACTGATAAGCCTCGAGCTTCGGTGGCATTCTTGGGAGGCTTCGTGGCCACTTCGGGCCATCTTGGCGCTCTCTTGGGGCCACTTGGAGGCATGCTGAAATCCATAATGAACCGAATCGGACCATCTTGCGTGATCTTGAAGGCCGACTTGGACTATCTGGGACGATCTTGGAATGATCTTGGGCCAAAATGGACCCTCTGACACCTCGCGGCCAACCCCGTCAAGAGGAGGAAGTGGAGTGTTTCTTTTCCCGTTCCCGCCTCCTTCCCTTCATCCCTCACCTTCCGCCCCTCTCCCCTCTTCCCTCCCCTCCTCTTCCCTCCCTTTCCATCATGTCTCCTTCCGTCCCATGCTCTCCTCTCCCTCTCCTCTGTTCCTGTCCCCTTCCGTCTCATCCCTCCGCTCCCACCCCGTTTGTCTCCCTCTCTTTCCCTCCGCTTTCCTTCCATTCCTCCCTTCCCCTCCCCTGCCCCGCCCTTCCCCTCCTCTCCCTTCCTTTCCGTCCCCTCCCCTTCCGTCCCAGTCCCCCCTGGCCTCAGGCTATGCTCGAAAGCTGTCTCTTCAGGGATGCTCCTTGGGGTCATAGTCTTCAGGGGTGCTCCTTGGGGTCTCTTCGGAGCGCTCTCGGGGGCCTCCGGAGGGCAGTTTTGGGCCTCCTAGCGATTTTGGGAGGGCTTATTGGGGGCTTTTCGGGGCTTTCTGAGGGCCTCTCGGGGCCGAGGGCTCGAAATGTGCGTTCGGGTCCCCCGTCTGGGTCTCCTCTTGGAGCCGTCTTGGGGGCCTCTTGGGCCGTCTTGGAGGCCTCTTGGGTCGTTTGGGGGCCTCTTGGAGGCCTCTTGGGCCGTCTCGGGGCGATCTTGGGGGCCCCTTGTGTCGTCTTGGAGCGTCGGGAACCCGAAAAGGCGAGAACGCCAAAACCTTTCAAACACACAATGAAAATCTATGAATGTTGCCTCTTGGGGTCCTCTTGGGAGGGCTCTTGGAGGCCTCTTGGGCCGTCTGGAGGCAATCTTGGGCCGTCCTGGAGCCATCTTGGCGGCCTGGGTGGGCTTCCTGGGCCGTCATGGAAGCCTTGGCGAGCTCCAGGGAGGCGCCATCCCCGGGAAAAGGGGCGATGCAGTCAACGAAGTGAGGTGGGGGGATCCCTTAGAAGACTACAGAAACCCTGCCAGGCAGCCCTTGGCATTATTCCACGCCTCAATGTGCCAAGGCACGGTGGTAGATCACCTTCCACGTCATCGTCACCATCATCAACAACATCTTCGTTATCAAGTTCATGGTCATCCTTATTTTCAGTATCATCGCAATTGTCGCCATTCTAATGTTCATCATTGCAGCCACCACCACCATGACCATCACCATCACCGTCATCATGACCGTCGTTATCACCGTTACCAACAGAATCATCACTTCCGTCATTTTACATCATCATCATCATCAACACCATCGTCGTTGTCGTCATCGTCGTCATCATCATCATCATCATCATCATCATCATCATCATCATCATCATCACAACCACCACTGCCACCACCACCATCAGCATCATCACCACTATCACCGCCACCGCCGTCATCATCGTCATCATTATAATCTTACCTGCGGGCGCCTTCCTCGTCGGGTGGATTCGGCTCGGAATTCTTGGCGGCGCTGGCCTGGGCCTTGGGAGGCCCTGGCACGCCGCCGCGGGCCCGGTGCCCTCTGGCCGTCGGGGGTCTTCGCGGCGGATGCTGCCATCGGCCCTGCTTGCCTCAGGCAGCAGGGTGGGTAGCGGCAAACGCACGTCTGGCTGGTGGCCTCGAGGGGCCCCAGCGCCTGTGCATGGAATGTAACACGGCGTGGATGAGCCCAGCTCCCCGACCCGAAGGCCAGTACCCGGTCATCACCATATATAATCTTCATAACCAGTAGCATCAGCATTATCATCATCATAATCATCCTCTTTATCACCTTCATCATCACCATCATCATCGTAATCACGATAGCCCACCAGCATCAGCATCAGCATTGTCGTCGTCGTCATCGTCATGGCCATGCCATCGGCATCGGCCACGGCATCATCATCATCATCATCATCATCATCATCATCATCATCATCATCATCATCATCATCATCATCATCATCACCGCTATCGTCGTCGTCGTCATCTTCATCGTCGTCGTCGTCGTTATCGTCGTCATCATCATCATCATCATCATCATCATCCTCTGCGCGCAGCTGATAGAACGCGTCCCAGGGCCCCCAAACCTCACAGAAAAGATACGCGTGGCCCTGGCGTATGTCAGCCCCCGGTGCTCCACTGTAGCGTTCACTTCTTGAGCACTCGCCCCCGGAAATTAAGTCGTGAGGGGAAACAATGAGAACATGTAAAGAACATGAAAAAAGCCAGCATCGTCCCAGACTCGGGATGCCCGCGAGCCGCAGCGACCTTGGCTCAAGCCACTTCGACGAGAGGCCTCTTCCGTTGGCAGCCCTTCTCGACGAGAGGCCACCTCATGCCGTGCTGGGGCGAACATTTTCTTTGCCGCGAGTGCCATGCTGAAGCAAAGGTGAAGCTCGTCGCCTCTGCTGCTGTCGGCCTTCCCTTCTGGGGAGTGGGCAGCATCCTGACGGGTACGGTGGCGGTGGGGATTATGGAGCGCCATTGGGAATACAAGGGCCAGCCCGGTCGGTGCGCGCGCTGCGGACGCGCCTGGACGGATCGTGACGAGCATGCAGGCATGGATTTGCTGAGTCGCTCGCAATGGGGACAGGCACGCGATTTGCAAAGTGTGCAGGCGGAGTTCAAGTCTGCAATGTCGTTCACTCAGCATGTGTTGTCCCAAGAGCCATCCAACGAGGCCGATCGAGCAATCTTGCCGCATATCCTCAAGGCTATGGCGGGCAATCCAAACAAACAGATTACTCTGACGGTGTGACCCCACATGAGAATCCGTTTAGTTTGCTTGGGAGGTGGCTCCCGCTCAAGAGTTCCTCGAGATTCACTTACAAGGTTCCCGCTCGAGCCTTCCTTTAGTTTCAGGCCGTAGGAGCCCAAAAGTGACGACAGTTACAGGGTTCGGATACCCCGCTCGGGTTCGAACAGGGAGGTGGTGACCCCGTAGGGAGGGCCCCCCGCTCGAGAGGTCCTCGCGATTCAGTCACAGACGGGGCCCCCGCTCGAGATATCCTTCAGGTTCAGGCACCAGGAGCCCACAAGTTACGGCAGTCACAGGCTTCGGATAAACCGCTCGGATTCGAACGTGGAGGTGGGGACCCCGTAGGGGGGGGCTCCCGCTCGAGAGTTCCTCGCGATTCACTCACAGACGAGGCTCCCGCTCGATATTTCCTTTCGGTTCAGGAGCCCAAAGTGACGAGTGTTACAGGGTTCGGATACCCCGTTCGGATTCGAACATGGAGGTGGGGGCCCCGCAGGGCTGGGCTCCCGCTCGAGAGTTTCTCGCGATTCACTCACCGACGGGGCTTCCGCTCGAGACGTCCTGAAGATTCAAGCCTCAGGAGCCCAAGCGTGACGACAGTTACAGGTTTCGGATACCCCGCTCGGGTTCGAATAGGGAGGTGGTGACCCCGTAGGGAGGGCCTCCCGCTCGAGAGGTCCTCGCGATTCACTCGCAGACGAGGCTCCCGCTCGACGTTTCCTTTTTTAGAATCAGGCCTCAGGAGCCCAAGCGTGACGACAGTTACAGGTTCCGGATATCCCGCTCGGATTCGAACATGGAGGTGGGGATTCCACAGGGAGGGGCTCCCGCTCGAGATGTCCTCCATACTCAGGCATCGTGGTGATGATGGTGATGGTGATGGTGATGCTGACGATGTCGAAGGCGATTACGACGATGATATGGCGACATCGATGATGATGACGACGACCATACGGAAGATTATTACGGATGTTGAGGATGACGTTGTTGATGGTGATGTTGGTGTTGGCGATGACGACGACGATGATGTTGAATGATGGTGGATGGTGATGACAATGATGATCTTGATGATGCTGATGATGCGGATGCTGATGATGATGGTAATGGTGATGGTGGCGATGGTGGTGATGGCAATGGTGATGAGGATGACGGTAATGATATGCTGCTGGTGAAGGTGATAGAGATGATGATGGCAGCGGTGATCATGATGCTAATGACGATGATGCTTATGGCCAGTGGTGGTGATGGTAATGGGATTGTTGTTGTTGGTGATGATGAAGTTGAAAGGAAATGGGGAGGAGAGACAGGATGAGGTGTTCTCCTGCGCGGGGGTGTCCAGAGAAAGCAGAGCCCCCACTTAGAATGCGGGGGATTAGTTAGTAAAAACTGAGATAACACAATGAAAATAGTTAAACATGAAGAGCAAACAAAAAAAAGGCCATGGCGGGCAACCGGCCTGTGAGCTTTGGGCGGCATGGCAGTACGAATGGCAGCGCGCTGCATGTACTGCACTCGCTCGCGCAGGGAGTTCCGGAGGAAGAAGAAGATTGGGATCTCAAGTTGTCCTCTCCCCCGAGTTGGTGCCGGTCCTCATCCATAGAAGAGTTGCGCTCGGACACCCGCGCCAAGCGCGATTTCATAGATGGCGCCAGAGATCGGATTGCGTCCAGCCTTGGTGTGGATGTGAGCAAGGTCAACGTCACAGCCATAGAGAGTGGCAGTATTCATCTGAAGTACACGGTCTCCGACCTGACGCTCAAAGAGAAGGAGCGCATCTTGCAGGCTGATGTCACTGGGAAGCTCCGGAATCAGTTCGACACGTTCGTTGCTCTCAAGGTGTCGCCGGCGGTGCTGGCACTCCACTTTAATTTGGACGATATGGACGAGAAGGGCAACAAGAGCAGCCATGAGTTCTCGAGCACACATCAGGTGGGCCCACCAGGCAAGCAGCGCACGTACTTCCAGCCATGCGGTTGGACCCGTTATGGCTTCAAAGTCCTTGGAAAATACACGGGGGACACATGGTTGCACCCGTTCCAGGACGCAGGTAATTGGTATCGAGCATTCCATAGCACGGGCAGGTCAAACGATCCTAGCGCACCCAAAAAGATTGTCGACGGTGGTTTCCGTGCAAGCGCTGGTGGTAAGTTGGGTGCAGGCGTATATGTCACTCCAAAATCCCAGTATTCAGAGGCGCATTATTGCGCAAAGATTCAGCTTCAGACCACCAGTGGGCCAAAGGCTTTCTCGTACATGCTGCAAGTGGCCGTGCGGCCTGGCTCCATCATCAACGAAGGATACCCAGATGGATCTGGAATCAATCAGGAGTGGACGGTGGACCCCAAGGATGTGAGGCCCTACGGCTTGCTGGTTAAAGAAGTGTAGATCATGGTGTTTCGCCTGAGACGGGCGCAGTGTGAAGGAGTTGCAAGATGTGGCAAGGTTGTTTGGGTTTGGACCTCAAGTATCAAGACCGAATCATCCACCTGACATGCCAGCGGCATGGTGGGTGGGGCTGTGTGCATAGGATTGTGCAGGAATTTGGGTTTTGTGTGCACATGGCAGTTTGACAGATTGCACTTGTGTCGTGTATTCTGCCTAGTGTGCAGAATTTGCACTAGTCTTCATATGCCGGTGTAGTACGCGGCGCGTTTGCAAGCAGACATAGAGTGTTCTTCAACGGTAGTTGTTGAATGGTTTCCCTTATTCAAGTGGCTTTCGCCATTCCGCCGACCCCCTGAAGGAGTGAGAGCTCGCGACGATCGTGGAAGCTATCCAATGGGTCAGGAGCCTCTTGGATGCATATGAGGGGCTCTTGGGATGCCTCTCATGGGAGCCTCTTGGAGGCCTCTTGGGGCCTTTTGGGGGCGCGTCGGGGGCTTGTGCGGGGCTCCTGGGGCCATCTGCGGGGGAAAGGGTCGAAATGTCAGTTCGGTGTTTCCCATCTTGGGCCCTTCTTGGGGCTCTCTTGGGGCTCCCTTGGGCCGTCTTGGGGGGCCCTGGGGCCGTCTTGGGGCCCTCTTGGGCCGTCCTGGGGCCGTCTTGGGGCCGCATGGGCCGTCTTGGGACGATCTTGGGGGCCCCTTGGGCCGTCTTGGACGCTGTCAAGACGAAAAAGGCGAGTTTGCTAAAAATGTACGTTTTCCGACTGAAATGGGAAGATTTTCCCTTCTCGGGGCTCTCTCGGCGATTGTCTGGGAGCACTCTTGGGCCGTCTCGGGGGCCTTGTGGGCCGTCTCCAAGCCACACTGGACCGTCGTCGGGCTCCCCTGGGCCGTCTCGACGCTGTCTTGGATTATCTTGGCGCTCTGTTTGGACCCTCTTGGGGCTTTTTGGAGGTTCCGGAGGCTCCGGAGGCGCGTTGGAGAGCTTGTACCCCCACGAGGGGGCGGCTTTAACTGGATTTGGGGCTCTTGGGGAGGGGGAGAGGGGGAGGGGGACAGCCAATAATCCCACACGCCTTTTCACCCCCGGCAAGCGGGGGTCGGCGGATATCATGCATTCTGCCGAGAGAGCAGAATATCACTTGTCTGCTTATGCTGGCGTAGTACGAGGCGCGAGCAGACTACGACACAGCACAATCTTTGCAACGAAAGTGACGATGGCAATAGAAACGATGCCCGGGAGGTTGGGATGGCGGGCGTCTGGGGGCATCCATTTGGACGCAAGGGATTTTTGCAGAGCGGATGCGCACTGCCCGGTCTCCACGGTGCACTGATCCCCAAATATAATAATTTCAGGTGTGTTGATATTATTCAGCATGTTTTGTAGTTGTTCACATGTTTTGATATTTATTGTTTATTCCGTTGGGCCAGAACGTGACAAGTGTTGAGTGTTCGAGCATGGTGTGCTTTCTCACAGGTTTGTACATGATTTAGATATAAACGGTGTACAAATATCCAGCTGCCTGCGGCAAGTCCGCCACCCGGCCAGTCCAGCATGTTCGGTGGCGATTGTTCGAGAGGGCATCGGAGGCATCTTGGATGCTCGTTGGGATATTTATCGTGAGAAGCCTCTCGGGGGCCTGTTGGAGGCAGTTTTGAGGCATCTTGGAGGCTGTTTGGGGGCCTCTTGAAGGCCTCTTGGGGTCCTCTTGGGACTACTCGGAGGCCCCTTGGGGCTCCCTGGGGGCCTCTTCGGGCACAAGGATCGAATTGTCGGTGCTTATTCCCTCTATTGGACCTCTCTTAGGGCCGTCTGGGAGTTATATTGGGCTGTCTTGGGCGCCTCTTAGGCCGTTTGGAGGCCCTCTTGGGCCGTCTTGGGACCCTCTTGGGGGCCTCTCGGGACGTCTTGGGGCGCTCTTGGGGGCCCCTGGAGCCGTCTTGGAGCGTCGGAAGCTCGAAAAGGCGATAACATGAAAACCATTGAAAATCTCAATGGAAATCTTTGCTTTTTGCGTGTTGGGGCCCTCTCGGGAGTCCTCTTGGAGCGCTCTTGGGGCTTCTTTGGGGCCTCTTTGGCCGTCATGGAGGCATCTTGGGCCATCCTGGCGGCCCTGGTGGCCTCCCAGGTCCGTTTTGGAAGATCTTGGGCGTCTTGGGCGCCTTGGAAAGCGCCAGGGACGTGTCTTGGCGCCGACAGAGCCTCGAAAAGAGGGGGCGATGCACCCGGGTGGGCGCGACCCGGGAGGGGGGGGGCGCCCTTAGAAAGATGACAGAAACCCTACCAGACAGCACTTGGCATGACGGAAGGAGCGCCAGCGAGAGAAGTTCTGCACAAGGCTTTAGCCCAAATGGGGGGGGGGGGGGGCTGGCCGACCGCGATTTTCTAACACGGCCTTCGGGGGCCAAGTTGGCGGCTTTTTCGGCCCAGGACGGCTCCAGATACCTCCAAGAGGTCCCCAAGACGGCTTAGGATACCTCCACGACGGCCCAAGAGACGCCCAAGAGGCCCCAAGACAGCCAAAAAGCGTTCCAAGAGAAGCGAAGATGCCCCCCAAGACTGCTTAAGAGACCCCCCAGACGCCCCAAGAGGCCCCCACGAGGACCTCCAACAGCCACTCAGGAGGCAAAAACCATTGATTTTCAATAAGCATTTTAATGATTTTTGGGTTCTCGCATTTTCGAACCAAAAAACAGCCGAAAACGGCCCAAGAGGCTCCAAAGATCGCCCCAAGACGGCCCAAGAGGCCCCCGGAAAGGCCCGAAAACGGCCCAAGAGGGCCCCAAGACGGCCCAAGAGGGCCCCGAAACGGCCCGAGAGGGCCCCAAGAGGCCCCAAGAGAGCCCCAGAGGCTCCCAAGAGGGCCCCAAGAGGCCGCCAAGAGAGCGCCAAGACGGCCAAAAGCGTCCAAGAGGGCCCAAGACGGCCCAAGAGGGCCCCAAGACGGCCCAAGAGGGCCCCAATACAGTCTAAAAGAGCCCCCACAGGACCCCAAGAAGGCCCAGAGACGCCACATGACAGAGCGATCGGTAACGCAAAAAGCTCTTCACACCAAAGCTCCCAACAGCGAGCGGTGACGTGACAAGCTCGTAACACCAAGGCGAACGGTTACATAAGCAATGATAAATACCGAGGCTCCCAAGGGCGAGTGGCAATGTAACAAGCTATCAACACCAAGGCTCCCAAGAGCGAGAGGCAACGTAATCATTTCTGAATACCAAGACTCCCAAGAGCGATCGGTGACGTAACAAGCTCTCAATACCAAGGCTCCCAAGAGCGAGCGGCAACGTAACAATCTCTGAACACTAGGGCTTCCAAGAGCGAGCGGTGACGTAACAAGCTCTCAACACCAAGGCTCCCAAGAGCGAAGGGTGCCATGAGCCATCTCGTGCAAGTTCCTCAAGCGCTCTTTCCGTTCCCGTGCCGGCCCAGGTTCTACACGCCTCAACGTGCCAGGGGGCACTGTGGCGGATATCTGTTTGGTATCGAAGACGCCTACGGCGAATCACCGCCGCCCCCTGCCTTTTTGGAAACGCCGATGTGGCTGAACGTTGTGGTCAGAGGTCTGACAAGCTATCGGCCATGTGTTCCCCGAGTCGGTTCGGAAAGCCTTCGGGGAACATGTGGGGGAAAATGAACACGAAGAGGAAGAGAAATAGGAAGAGCAAGAGTAGGAGTAGGAGGAGGAGAAAGAGGCTTCTTTGAGCCTCTTGGGGCACTCTTGGGGCCTGCTGGGAGCTTCCTGGGGGCCTCTTGGAGGCCTCTTGGGGACCTCCTTGGGCCTGCTGGGGGCGTTCGGGTGCTTCTTGGGGGCCTCTTTGGCCGTCTTAGGGCTTTCCTGGCCCGTCTGACGCCGTCTTGGGGGCCTCAGGGGGCGCCTCAGGGACGTCTTGGAGGCCATCTTGAGCGTCTTGGAGGCCTCTTGGGCCGTCTTGGGGCCCTCTTGGGGCCTTCTTGGGGGCCTCTTGGGCCGTCATGGGGCCATCTTGGAGGCCTCTTGGGCGCTCTTGGGGCGACATTGGGGGCCTCTTGGGCCGTCTTGGGCCGTCGCAGAGCTGAAAAGAAGAACATGCCAGAATCCTTTAAAAACCTATGGAAAATCATTGATTTTGGCCCTTTTGGGCCTTCCTTGAGGACGTACTGGAGGGCTCTTGGGCCGTCTTGGAGGCATCCTGCGGGCCTTTTGGGCCGTCTTAGGCCATCTTGAGGCCATCTTGGCCCGTCTTGGAGGCATCTTGGGGCCATCTGAGCTGTCTTGGAGGCCATCTTGGCCATCGTGGAGGCATCTTGCGGGCCATCTTGTACCATCTTGGGCGTTTTGGAGGCCTCTTGGGCCGTCTTGGGGCCCTCTTGGGGCCATCTTGGGGGCTTCTTGGGCCGTCATGGGGCCATCTTGGAGGCCTCTTGGGCGCTCTTGGGGCGACCTTGGGGGCCCTAGCCGAAAAGACGCAACTGCAAAAATCATTCAAACACCAAAGAAAATCAATCATGTTGGCCCTTTCGGGCCTTCCTGGAGGACCTCTTGGAGGCCTCTTGGGCTATCTTGGAGGCCTCGTGGGGGCCTTTTGGACCCATCTAAGGCCGTCTTGGGTGCATCTTGGGCCGTCTTGGAGGCATTTTGGTGCCATGTTGGCCGTCTTGGAGGCCATCTTGGCCGTCTTGGAGGCATCTTGGAGGCCATCTTGCCCATCTTGGAGGCCTCTTGGGCGTCTTCAGGCCCTCTTGGGACCGTCTCGGGGGCCTCTTGGGCCGTCATAGGGCCATCTTGGAGGGCTCTTGGGCGATCTTGGGGCGACCTTGGGGGTCTTTTGGGCCGTCTTGGGCCGTCGGAAAGCCGACAAGGCGCAAATGCTAAAATCCTTCAAACACCTAAGGGAAATCTATGATTTTGGCTTCTTCGGGCCTTCCTGGAAGACCTCTTGGAGGCCTCTTGGGCCGTCTTGGAGGCCTCTTGAGAGCCTCTTGGACCGTTTTGGGCCATCTTGAGGCCATCTTAGGCCGTCTTGGGTGCATCGTGGGCCGTCTTGGAGGCATCTTGGGGCTATCTTAGCCGTCTTGGTGGCCATCTTGGCCGTCTTGGAGGCCATCTCGAGCCATCTTGGAGGATTTGTTGTGATCGTTGAGGTCGTTTGCGAAGCTTACGGGTGGCTGGCGGGACGGGCCGAAGCCCACTGGGGGAGTTGAACCAAAACCAAAACCGATAAAATCTAGCACGCCAGGCACCCCTGTGATGAATCAACAGGGGGCGGCGGACTAGTTGCCTTCGGTCCATCCCGCCACCGTGCCTGGGTTGTGGGCCAGAGAGCCCTCTTGGGGCGTCTTGGGGGCCTCTTGGGGCTTCTTGGGGCTCTCCTGAGGTCTCTTGGGGGGCCTCTTCGGGCCTCCTGGGGCTGCTTGGGGGCTCCTTGGGTCCTCCTGGAGGCGTCTGTGGCGGAAGGCTCGGAATGTCCGTTCGGCTTCCCCCTCTGGGCCCCGTCCTGGGGCCCTCTTGGGCCGTCTTGGGGGCCTCCTGGGCCGTCTTGGGGCCCTCTTGAGCCGTCTTGGAGCCCTCTTGGGGGCCTCTTGGGCTGTCTTGGGGCGATCTTGGGGGCTTCTGGGGCCGTCTTCGACGCTCTGAAAGCCCAAGTGGCGAATATGCAAACAAATATACGTCTTCGTCCGGGAATGTGACGAGTTTTGCTTCTTGGGGCCCTCTTTGGGGCTCCTCTTGGAGCTCTTTGGGACGTTTCGGGGGCTTCTTGGGCCGTATTGAGGCCATCTTGGGCGTCTTTGGAAGCTCTTGGGCCGTTTAGGAGGCCTCTTGGACTCTCCTGGGTCCTGGGGGCTTCTCGGGGTCTTTTTCGCCCGTTTGGGGGCCCTGTTGGGCGGGGTCACCGTCCCAGAGGCCCACGCGGCACACCCCAGGAGCGCGCGAGAGCGCGCGGCAGCGTCCAGCAGCGCCTGGGAAACGGGGGGTCCAGGCCCTCTAGAACCTTACAACCCCCTGTCTCTCAGGGCTGCATGAGCCTTGGTGCACTCCACTACGTGCTGAAGGCACGGTGGCGGATTTCGCTGGTACGACCATGTTTTAGTAATCGTCATTAAGGCCTTTGTGGTCATCGGGGCGCCACGCCTCCGTGAGATCCTGCTGACGGTCCCTCCAAAATCCTCGTCGCGGTAAGTCCAATTAGCTTTCGGGTCAGATTCCTGGGTGAGGTGCACGAAAAGATGGAGTTCGGGCTTGCAC